ACTTGACAGCAATGTTTTTTTTGTGTGTGTGTGTTTTTAAATGGAATGTGTGGGCATCGTTTTATGTTTTCTCTTTGACAGTAGGGGAAGATTCTATACAGCTGTCAAGGTATTCCCTTGCATTGCTGTTTAACAGTATTGGAACTCATACCATTTAAAGCACGATTTTCTCTCTGGGATGATGTAGCTCTACAGAGTGAGAGCATTCCTCACCTCCATCCCCACTCATTCTCTTTCCCAATAAGAAGGCCTGGTCTGGGGCCCAGGTCTCCTTGTAGGTATCTCCAACTGCATTAGATCTTGCCCCTCAGCTGTAGGCTCATTCTCTTGGACCTTTTTACATTCCAGGTTCAAGACCTTATGAGTTTTAAATAATTTACAGTCTTAGAGCATATTGGAGGAACTGAGTGGGAGGGAATGCTGCAGATAATGGAGTCAAGGACTCTCTTAGTTTGTCAGTTTGTTGAGCCTAGTGTTGGCTGCTGTAAGAGTGTTTTAGAGAATTAAAGTGTAGAGTTCTTGATCACAGTGAGCATGCAATCTGAGTAGGGGAACTAGGACAGATAAGACTCCTGAAGACCATATAAAAAGCAACACTAGACTGTAAGCTCCATGAAGGCAGGGACTGTGTTTGGTTTGTTTGTGTTATATCCTGTGTGTCTAGCTCAGTGCCTTACAAGTGGTGAGTGCTCAGTAAATATTTAACACATGAATGTTAGAATGAGTAAACATGTCAAAATGAAACCGGTGGCTGTCGAGTCTATTCCAACTTATAGCGACCCTATAGGACAGAGTAGAACTGCCCTATCGGGTTTCCAAGGAGTGGCTGGTGGATTTGAACTGCCGACCTTTTGGTTAGCAGCTGGTCTCCTTAACTACTGCACCACCAGCAAGTATAAATTCTTCCATTTCAGGTTGTTTGAACAATCATGTGTTATTTTCAAATGTAGTCAAGTAAGGTCAATTAGAGAAGACTTCCTAGATGCTGTGCATTTTCTAAGAGATAAGCAAGATGATGGAGGATGATGTATTTGGAGAGGCATTATGGCTCAAAGTAAAGAACTTTTTATCGCCTTGTTGGGGAGTGACTCCTGGGTTCATAGAAAGCCTGTATTTGTAACTAATTTTTGTCTTTTACTGTTAATCAGATGTTACGAAAAATGAGCTGAAGTATAGGTATTCGTGCTCCTTTCAGTTTCTGTCCATGGTCAATTCATTGCCTGTTAATATATATTCCTTTCAAGGGTTTCAAAAATATTTCATATTGCAAACAGAGATAACAATGATACTGAATTATTTTTACAGCAGTGGTAATGACTTTTGCTAAGCCATCTATATCTATGTGCCTAGTTCCCATGGCAAATGTTTTTGAGACAGCCAGATGGGTTAGGAGTTTGCATCCATGAAACAGCTTTTCTCTGTGCAAGTTTGTTAGCTCATGTGAGGCCCAAATAAGATAGTGCCCTAGAGAAGTACTAGATTCCTTATTCTTGCCTTGAGCCCTGGCTTTACTCCTTAACTCTATGACCTTGGGCAAGTCACGTGCCTCCTCTGGTTTCCTCTTCTGTAAAGCAGTAACTCATTTATATAATGTACCTCCCACTTTACAGACATTTTCCCATAGTGTATGTATTTATCCCACCTCTCTCGGGGCTGTTGAAAGGAGCAAATCATATAAGATGATATCTTTCAAATTGCTTTCTAAACTGTGAAATTCTGTGTAAAGTTTAAATGGTAAATTCATGAACGTGATTTAGCTTCATGCACTACTTCCTGAGCTGAGTAGCCCAAAACAAATTAAGGGTGGCTGAAAGATCTTTCCATAAATATTTTTAAGAATTCAAGGAGAGTAAACAGGCTTTATTGTTGCAGGAGTGCATGAGGTTAGAAGGGCTACTTTTCCAATGGTCAGGGTTGGGTGATGATGATACTAGAGGAATAGGAGAAGAGGAAGGTTATTGAATCTCCTTCCTAGGAATTTTGGTGAATGAGAGAGATTTCAGCTGCCTTGACTCACTTAGATGTCTTTCAATGACGGGGATAGAAAGGTTTATTTCGTGATCTCTGGCCATTCCTTGTCTTAAAAG